TTGAATCCCAACGCTATGTTGTCCATCCAACTCGATATAGTAGACCACGGCATTACAATAAAATCAAACATTATCGAATAAAAACAAATATTTGCATTGAAGCACCTTAAAAATCGACAGTGTCAAATACACTAGGAAAAAAACCCGTACAAATATACCCCTGCATAGAGACTATGTACACACATAAATAAGACGAAAAAAATAAAATAATTATTTCAACAGTATAAATTACTGTTTATCCATTTTTTAAACCTTGTATTCCATAATGATAACGAAATAATATTTATAAAAAACAATTATCAGCGTTTAAATGTTTTAAGTTACTCAAATTAAGATGGGGTGGATTTAATTAGGATTGACATAGAAAATTCTCTCTTGTGAGAGGCGTATTCTCTCGTAGTGAGAGGCAGATGCTTCTTTGATTTAATCTTCCTTTATGGTCGGTATCGACATCTCCCCTGTTTGCGAAATCTTGAAATCTCCGGACGGTTTTATCGTTTGTCTTTGATTATGTGGTGTTATTACCTTTTATGTTTTCCTTTCTAGGTTTTGTTTTGCTTTTGGTTTACTCGTGGCGGCTAGGGTTTCACCTTACTCATATTTATCCTTCCATTTTCTCAGTAAAACATCACGACGGCCCTCGGATCCCCCTTGGCTTCTCCTGTCACGTATCTCATCACTCTCACCTCGTCACTATGGAGGAGATCAGCGCAAAGTTAGCCAGCAACGTTTCTCTCACGTCGCAGGAGGAATCCTGTGTATTTGTTCCGCCAACGGCTAGGGTTTCCAGCAGAGATGGTGGGGGGTATCGAGTTGTTGGTAGGGTCCTTACCCCCAAGATCATGAATAATCATACCATCAATCAGAATGTCATACGACTTCTGCAACCAGTGAGAGGCTACTCATTCGCTTCTATTGCGCAAAACCGGTTCTTGATGTCGTTTGACCATAGGTTAGATTATCTGCATGCATTGAGTGGAGCCCCGTGGCTGCTAGAGCGCAATGCCGTCCTGTTTCAAGATCTCCCAGAAGGGATGGACCCAAAGGAGGTGTCAATCGATGATATGACGATCGTAGTTCGTATGCACCAAATCCCGCTACCACTAAGGAATTCGGAGACGGCGACGCTACTAGACAAAAATTTGGGCAAGGTCATTGAGGTATTGAAACAAAAGAGTGGGGAGTATGGAGATTATGTGCGCATCAAGCTTGCCATCAACGTCAACCAGAGACTTCGTAGGGTACTTATATACACGACGGGAACAGCACCAAACAGTGGGTCTCTTATACGTACGAGCGCCTCCCCGCGTTCTGCTTCCTTTGCGGACTCCTTGGTCACGGGGACTCACGTTGCCCAGTCCGCTATGAGGATAATTTCCAAGATCCGGGAGAAAACCTCCCATATGGGGTTTGGTTACGTGCGTCGACTAATCGGGACGAACACGGCTCTGGGCTTCCACTTCAAGCAATCCGGCCAAAATCCAGAAACTTGCATCATAGAGGTGAGTTAGGAATTGTGGGGAGAACGACCGAGGCGGAGAGCTCTTCACAGGTTGACAATCATGGGATGGGAAAAGAAAATATTAATGGGGGACTACTGGATGAAACCCAACTTATTTCAGCTAACATCCAAGTCCAGAATCAACTTATGGAGTCAGTGAAGGGAAGGAAAGTTGTCATGGTTAACAGGAAAAATCGCAAGAAAAAGGCAGACGAAACAATGGCAATTGATGCTCTACGAGTACACAATAAAACCCAGTTATCTCTCAGCGACGAGACAAGCTCATCATCGGCGGCGGCTGCGGAGCAGCCCCGCCGGGCACAATGAGTTGCTTATTCTGGAATTGTCGAGGGTTGGGGGGTCCCTTGACAGTTCATGAGCTGGGAGCGATGCTCCGAAAGCATAACCCCTCACTGGTGTTCCTTTCGGAAACGAAAGCGACATCGCGGTTGGTGGATTGGTTGAAGTGTAAGTGGAAGTACTTTGGAGTGTCAGTGGATGGGCAGTCAGGAGGCCTTGCTATGTTATGGACTAGATAAATCAATGTGACACTGCTCTCCTACTCGCAGAACCACATCGATGTGGAGGTATCTAACCTTGTTTTGGACACCAAGTGGCGGTGCACGGGCTTCTATGGGCTCGCCGAGGCGAGCCGAAGACGAGAATTGTGGAACCTCCTTCGAGCATTGAGCGGTCAGAGCGATCTTCCCTGGTTAATAGGAGGCGACTTTAATGAGATTACTGGAGACCACGAGAAGCAAGGTGGGCTCACCAAGGCCCCGGGTCAAATTTAGGAATTTAGAAGCTGTTTGGTCGACGGCGCGGTATCAGATCTTGGGTTTAAGGGTTTCCCTTTCACCTGGTCCAATAATAGGGAGGCACCGAACACGGTGAGATGCAGGCTGGACCAGTTTTGCGCTTCGAGCAGCTGGGTTGCTAAATGTAAGGCGGTTGAAGTTCAACATTTGCAATTTAGGGGGTCGGATCATGTTCCTATCCTCCTAACTTTGCGGGGTCCCGAGGAGAGGGGGAAAAGGATAATTCGCCGGCCATTTAGGTTTGAATCGATGTGGGTGCAGAAGGAGGAGTGTGAGGAGCTGGTGCGTCGCGCGTGGGATCTTGGGGGTGGCTCCGACCCAGTGGAACGCCTCCTGCACAAGACGAACGAGTGTCGAGCCGCCCTCATTCATTGGAAAAGATCTTCAGGGTACTCACCTATTCGCCAAATCAGGGAACTAGAAGATAAGCTTCACCAACTCAAAATCGGAGACCAGAATGGGGAGACGAGGCAAAGGATTTTGGAACTGAAAGCTCGGCTGGAAAAGCTTTACGGCGACAATGATGACTACTGGCGGCAAAGAAGCAGAGTTCAATGGATCAAGGAGGGAGATAGAAACACAAAGTTCTTTCATGCTCGGGCCACAGCTCGAAGGAAAGTGAACCAGGTTGAGCGACTCAAGGATGATAATGGAGTTTGGCAGAATTCGGAGAGCGAGATCTCGAGAATCGTTGCTGGCTACTTTGCGAATATCTTTCAAACCACTAGTCCGGACGAGAGCGAGATTGATGAGATATTGGGCCAGGTCCCGACAAGGGTGACTCCGGAAGCTGCTCAGGTGCTCTCCATTCCTTTCTTGGAGACTGAGGTAACCCAAGCTATTAGAAACATGACCCCCCTAAAATCCCCGGGTCCAGATGGACTCCCAGTATTATTTTTTACTAGATACTAGCATATTGTTGATAATAGTGTGGTTGATTGCGTTCTCGATTTTTTAAACAAAAAACACTTACCCTCTTCCCTCAACTACACTTTTATTGTACTCATACCGAAAAATTCCTCTCCCGAAAAAATTACCGATTTGAGACCTATTAGTCTCTGTAATGTGGTATATAAAATCGGCTCTAAAATTATTGTGAATCGGCTTACTAGTATCCTCTCAAGCATTGTATCTCCGACTCAATCAGCGTTTGTACCCAATCGCCTTATCACAGATAATGTCTTGGTCACCTATGAAGTAAACCATTATATTAGAACGAACTCTAGAAATAGGAAAAATCATATGGCCATTAAACTTGACATTAGCAAGGCTTACAATCGAATCGAATGGGTTTTTCTTAAGAAAAGTGCTTGTCTGTTTTGGCTTTCCTTTGCCTTTTATTGAGCTCATTATATTGTGTCTCCTCTGTCTCTTACTCTTTTCTATTCAATGGTTCACAGTTCGGGAATGTTACCCCAACCCGGGGCCTTAGACAGGGAGATCCACTGTCTCCATACTTGTTCATTCTTTGTGCAGAGATTCTCATTGCAATGGTCAACAAAGCAGTTGAAATGGGGGAATTGGAGGGAGTTCGGATTGCTCCTCTTGCGCCACTCATCTCGAACTTGTGCTTCGCCGACGATACTATTCTCTTTTGCCGGGTAGATGTTCGAAATGCCAACACGCTCAGGGTGATACTAGCCAAGTATGCGCGCATATCGGGCCAAGAGATCAACTTTGAGAAATCCACAATGTGTTTCAGCCCCTCCACTCCGACAGAAGTCAAACAGTCCATCCATGGGCTGTTTAGGATTCAGATGGTTGATCGTCACGAAAAGTACCTTGGTATGCCTGCATCTCTCGGAAAGTCTAGAAAATAAATTTTCCGGTTCCTACGTGACAGGATTTGGGCGAGAATTAAATGGTGGGGCGAGAAACACCTCTCTAAAGCGGGTAAAGAGGTGATGATTAAGTCAGTCTTACAGGCGATCCCTTCATATATGATGTCTTGCTTTGCTCTGCCTGCGGGACTTGTGTGGGATCTTGAGGCGACGATTAGGCAATTCTGGTGGGGCGGCGGCTCGAACAAGAAGCTGGCTTGGATGTCTTGGGAACGCCTTTGCAAACCCAAGTTTTTGGGCGGAATGGGGTTTCGGAACCTTCGTCTCTTCAACCAATCACTACTTGCTAAACAAATTTGGCGGATATTTACGCAGCCGGACCTTCTTCTCTCTCGTATTTTAAAGGCTCGATACTTTCCTCATGATGATGCCATGACAGCAGCGGTTGGTTATCGGCCGTCGGCAACCTGGCGGAGTTTCGTTAGTGCGCGATATCTCCTTCGACTGGGCGCGAGGAAACGGATCGGAAATGGATTAGCAACATGCATCTCAGGCGAACTTTGGCTAAAAGACGAAGGGAATTTCAAAATTCTCACTCGCCGCCCTATTTCATCGAGCTTCTCTAACCGGGTAGCGGATTTGACTGACCTGGTCACTCGACGCTGGAATTTGAATCTTATCGACAATGTTTTTTGGCCTATTGACAGATGCAAGATTCTTAAATCCCCGTGGAACCTCTGTTGCGCAAGATGTGTGGGTGCGGCACCTTTCTAAGTCTGGAAAATACACAGTTCGCTCGTGCTACAACAGAGCCATTCAACATGTAGAGGATTCAACCAACCCCCGGAAGACACCAACTCACTCCACCAGCGGAGTCGTGCAACACAAGTGGGACCTCATATGGTCCTTGAATATCCCCCAAAAGTCCGACACTTCGTTTGGCGGGCTACATCTGACATCCTCCCCACCCGGGCTGCGCTTTTCCGGAGGAAGATTGCGCATGAGGCTCGCTGCTTCCGGTGCGGTCACGCGAATGAGTCATCCATTCACATGGTACAGGTCTGTTGTGGCATGGAAAAAGTTTGGCAGGCAGCTGCATTCCTCTTGGAAACCCTCGCAACGACCACCTCCTCGTGGAACTGGTTCGAGTATCTTTCTCGGAGTCTGCCGGATTATTATTTTCGACTTGCTATCATTATCACATGGAAGGTTTGGAGTAATCGGAATTGTGTCTTGCATGGGGATGCCGCTACACATCAAGAAAATATAATAGAGTGGGGGACGAGGTATCTCGACGAGTTTTTGTCCCATCAAATGCCGAAGACCTCTTTGAACCGAGCGCAATACTCGTCCGCATGGTCCCCTCCTCCGGTTGGCTATCTAAAGTTGAATGTTGATGCTGCTCTTCCCGCCGGACAGCCCCATTACACGGTCTCGATGGTTGCGCGGAACGAGGAAGGAGTTTGCATTTGGTGGGAAGTAAGGACCTACCCTGGCTCGCTTATAGCGGAGGAATGCGAGGCACATGCAGCCTTGTTTGCACTCCAATGTGCTCAGCGCAAGGGATGGCAGTCGATCATATTGGAGGGAGATTGCTTGGGCGTTATTGAAGCTCTTCGAGCTGGCACTGATCTGAGTTCATCCATTGGAGTGTTCGTCGACGAATGTCTGTCTTTGGTTCCATTTTTCTCCTCTTGCTCTTTTTCGTTTGTTAAACGGTCTGGTAACAAATTGGCTCATTGTCTAGCCACTAGCTTTCCATTTCCTTGTAATGAAGGTGACACCCTTCCAACTGGTTTGGCTTCTTATGCCTAAATGAATTTCTCATTCCTCAAAAAAAAAAAAAAGTTACTCAAATCAATTATTTATCATTCTAAATTGTTGCTTATCCATTTTTATATCTGTTAGAATCCCATGGATTCTAATTGTACGAGAATTAATAAAACTTGTGCCACAAGTTTTCATATACCGTGAGCTAAAGAAGGGAAGAGTCATTGTAGCTTTTAATTCTTTTAATTTGTCATTAATTGATTTATAATAGGAATTATTCTTCTAAAGAGTTTCCTTGTATTGGAAATATAATTTCCTACGTAATTAAAAGTTTCCTAACCCTAATGGACTCTATTTCCTTGTAGGATTCTTATAACATGTAGAAGTATAAATACAGCAACACGGCGCCTCAGATCTCACGCCTTTTGTTGGAGAGAAAAATCATAGTTTTCTGCTCTTTTTATTTGCTGCGCCTGGAACATATTTTTATCGAGAGAAAATATACAGAGAAAATCTTCTTGGCTCTCGTTTTTATTGTTCCATCGTGATACGTGATTTTCATAGAAAATATACCGGCTTCAAGGCTTTGTGGTGAAGACACCAAGATTCAAGAAGTATCACAAGTTTGCTTCTTCTATATAAAAAGAAGATCGGTTCTTCGGGAGAGGGGCTTAAACAAATCTCGGGAGGAGATCGATCCGCCGACTGAGGGATTCAGCGTTGAAGGGAGTTCAACCGTGCGGAGCAAGGGACGTGCTGCAAATTGAAGATTTATAATTCAGCGTATTATACAAGAACGGCGTCAACAAAGAGGGAGTCTTTGTATTTTGATTAAGTCCTACTATTGTATTCGTAAAACTAAAAATTAGTAAATTTTATCTGCAGGTCCCCGTGGATGTAGGGTACAATTGTATCCGAACCACATTAAATTTGTGTCTCGTTTATTTCTGTTTTTACAAGCTGTTTCACGAACTGTTGCAACACTTCACGCAACAGTAACGAAAAACTGAATCTGACACAAATAATTTATATCTGCACGAAATAAATTCTAACAATATCTTTTTTTTAGGAGAAAAGAATCATCTTATTAGGCTATATTAGCTAAAGCCGGTGGAAGTTTGAGACCTTCCAAAGTAGCAGTACAATGCAATTGGGTGAGAGCATGGGCCAAGCTGTTGTCCGTTCTCTTAACAAATGAAAAAGAAAAACTAGAAAAGCACTAAGAGCATAAACACATTCGTCGATAATCGCACCGTATGATAGTAATTCTCCACAACCTGAGCGAAGCGCCCGAATAACTTGGAGCGAGTCCCCTTCAAGAATAATATATTCCCATCCGTTCGAGGCAGCAAACAAAAAGGGCATGATGAGCAGCAAGTGCCTCCCCTTCTAATGGATTGAGATTGCCATGTATCTTTATTACCTTCTATCCGAAACAACGACCTTCATGGTTTCTTGCCACCACAGCTACCACCCCCCGTAGTTCTCCATACAGGATTGATGCATCAAAATTAAGCTTAATCTTTTCCATTTCCGGTGGTTTCCATTCAGTCGGATGAGCTCGGTTCAAAGTAGGGTTTTGTCAGATTTGGGCACTTGAAATTCGCAAGGAAAAATCGACACCAATGGGGCAGATCATCAACCTGTATCCCCTCTTCTTGATGTACCTCTCTATTTCGACGGTCCCACGCTTTCCATGCAACAACCATGGTCCATAAAAAATTCTCACCATCTAGTGCATGTTTCTTGTCGAGAAGACACTGCCAGGGTGATGCTAGTTAAGAATATAATGATGGTCCAAATGGAGGTTGCAACCAAACCGAGTTCAGGCCACTGCATGTTGTGATGACATGGAGCGCCGTTTCCTATGTTGTTCCGCAGCGGGTGCATTGGGGGGAAGGAATAATACGCCGTAGGTGAATTCATCGTTGGTAGGTAAGCTATTCCCATATAGACGCCATATGAAATGTTTGATCTTGGGTGGTAGTTGCATTTGCCAGATAACCTTCCAGTCACGAGTAACAGTGTCGTTGTTTGACCCATGATTTCCATCTCCACGTTGATTTGATTGTGCAAGCCCGTTAAAATTTGGTAGTTTAATTTGTTAAGATTTTTTGGTCCTTGTGCTTAATGTGGTAAAATTGAACGTTCATAACCCCTCTTCATCAAGACATGTGGTCAGGCTCAATTTAAAATATCTAGTACATCATTATGATGTGTTGGATTGAATTGTGTGATATGTAGAACACCTTTTGTGGTGTAATGGCACCCCATTTTGCAACTGTTTTGTTTCCTTTATTAGAAAAGATATAATTGTTTGGTTTTTCAGTTGTACAATTATCCATACAACGAAAAATATACACGAATAAGAAAATATCTCACCAAAAAAAAAAAAGAATAAGATAGCAGACTTTTGATAAGCGTCAATGAGTACTCCTATCTCCTAACATATGAAACACAAAATATGGCTTATGCACACTCAGTAAAGTTTGCCTATATATATGGACGTTTTTTTTTTTTAAATTGCATCACACAATACGAACATAAGCGAAGCTTATCACAAAAAAAAAAAAAAAAAAAGGGTAGGCACCAAAAAAACATTAAGAATGAGTCAGTCCGATTAATACTTGTCCTAACTAGAGAGATGAAACGGTCGACAACTTTTTCATTGGCTGCGTAAGTTCCCAAGCAAGGGTTTGCAATTTTGTCGCTAGGAACACATCCACTGTGCTACTTGGAATCAATGCAATTCGAGATGAATACGGTTTGGAGTTTTCATACGAGTATTGCATGAAAAAACTAAATCTTTTGCAGAAAAGGTACAACACATTCAATTCAATATTGACGTATCCTACTGTCTACTATGAATCCTACACTAACAAAGTGTACGCATCGGGCCTTGTATGGGATTTAATATTAAAGGTGAGCGTATTTCGTATGTTTTTTTTTTAAATTACTTTCGGTTAATGTCTTCAAATTAAAATTACCATCCGAATTTAAATTATACTTTGTAGGAACATACATTCTCTTCCGCGTCCCCTAGTTATGGTGAGTCAAAGATTTACGAGCTTACATCAATCTTTGGTGGATTGAGAATGAAAGAAGATCCCAAAGTTGTTGAGGTATCTGCCATGCTAGCGGGGACAATATCGGAGGGAATGCGACAAACTCAATCCAATTATGCCACGGTCAGATAAATGTACCAATTTCTTTCCACGTAAAAATTTAGGATACGATGACTATGCATCTAATTCGGAGGGGTCCACGGGTACCCAATTCAGAACGGCTAATACGAAGATCAATAAGGTTAAAACTGTCGAGGAAACTTTGAATCATGTCCGAAGAATCCAACCCGGTTCCCAATGGACTACCAAAATGAAAGGTATGATGAGTATGAGTTTTGCGGCATCGGATGATTGGGGAACACATTCGCGAATCCAAAAAAATGTTTCGGAAACTTCCACTTTTAATATATTCGCCTGCTTTTCGGTACTTTTCTCGTATAAAAACACTATGTTTGTTTTGTTGGAATCACGGCTGCACTTCGACGATTGATCACGAAATTGGAGGATGAGGCTTGGACTCCATTTGTTCTTTAATTTTATAGTTAACAAGTTGTTGCAATAAAAAACACGATAATATGGAGATAGGCAAGGTGAGGCGCGGACTAGGTCGCTTTCTTAAGACGAATTTCACGATCCCTTCTCTAATGAGGTGCAAAAAGGTTCTGATCGTGTCGCCTATGGGATACAACAGCCCAGCCTATCTCTCCGCTGTAACTTCACCGAAATTGCACGTTCAAGTGAAGCAGAAGCTTACACCCGACACACAACAAGAGCTCAAAATATATGTGTATAGTATAGATGAAACGTGTTTCTTTTTTGTCTTTACCCTTCTCTCTTGCAAAACCACAAAGTCCCCTTTTTATAGTATAAAACATGGCCACCATAAAACCTCTATTTAATATATAATTAAAGGAAAATATTGAGGTTTTATGACACAAAATAAATTTTTGTAGGTTTCAAAATCTTAGTCCAAATGACCTCATAAATTGGTCAAAGAGATTATTTAATAAAATATTATTTTTATTAAAAAACCCAACAATCCCCCACTATTTTAATAAAAATAAGAATATAAATATACTTGAGCTCTTGCGGAATATTATGCATAATGAAAGTGAGCAATGCCTTGAAACCTTCACTTAGTACAATATGTTTCCCGTACTAGAATCAAAGTGGACTTAGCCTTGAAACAGTGACCCTTGGGGCACGTAGAATCATATTGCACACATAATATTCAAAGTGTCCCGATCGAAGCTTCTAAAGCCAGCACGTTAACGGCCATGTGCTTTACCCCATTTCTCGTGAGAGCTCTAGAGAACAGCCTATAATTCTCATAGGAAGCGGCCCCACTTCCACACTCACAAGGTGAATTCTATCAAGGATGTTTACGTAACTCCAACACCCCACCCATCCGGGCTATAGAACTCATTAAGAGATCAAAGTCTCAACCTCACAATTCGTTACGAGCTTTATTAGTACACACACATCATAGGGATGGATAATAAAAGTGTGCACTTTTATCACTATCAAGTTGCTTTCAGATTCGTTTTTCTTCACCTAGTTCGTAGGATCTCTAGCCCCTAGGCGGTAGTATCCTCATCAACAACTTTACAAAATATATTAGGCTTTAATCCAATCCCCCTCAATGCATTTCAGATGATTTCTGAAATAATATGAAATATAAATTCACAAATTTAGTAGCGCTTATCTGACATTTAGTCTTGTAGACTCAATGGTTTATTAACCATTCTCAAATAATTTTACATGTAATATATCATAGATTTTCACGTGAATTTTCGCATATATCCACAGTACTGTATTTACTTTTAATGGTTTCGGATTCCATTAAAAGATTTTCGCAATATGCCAACTGCAGTTTTTTCAATCTCATTTTTCAAAGCACGAAGCATTTGATTTTTCTCAATCATATTTTTCAAAGCACAAAGCATTTGATTTATTCTCAATCATATTTATCAAAGCACA